CTGTTCTGTATCCTGTGCAGTCTCCTGTGTAAAGAAGAAAGTGACATATGAATCTTTACCTGAGGCCATCCAGACTTACAGCAGGACATTAGTTTGCCCATTACAGCCAATGTGATTCAAAGATAATTCTAATAAACACTTACAGTATTTCACATTCTGGTGCTGGTTCCAGTTGACAGTTACTTAGTTAATCCAAAGTTAGCAAAGACAAGAGCTGATCTTCTCTCACTGACAAAGGTCTGAAGACTGGAAATGGAAGCAACATTAGAAATTAAATAAATACATTTAAGAAAAGTATCACAACCAAATAAAAGTTGTTGTTGCTTTTGCTGGTAGTGCTTCTTTTTCCCTGCCGTTAGTTATTCATATATTCTTTTTAATTGAATTTCCCAAAACAAAATCTGAAGTCACATTCCCGTCACTCCATACAAAAAATCTTATCCGGATTATCACAAATGTAATCAACAGTCAAGACAATTAGTTTTTTTGTAATTATATCAAACTGATATACTCTTTGTGAATAGCCCCTCACAGTTATCCAGAATAGATGTTTTTATGAGCTCATTTATTCATAACATCTGTCCTTTGGTTGTAATGATTATATTATTGTCAAGGGGGGGCATAATCCATCACAAAGGCATGATAAACACCATATCTCACCACGTCACCGTATCTCTTGTTTGTTTTTTTAGCACTTATTTTAAAAGATTGTATATGTGTGTGTGTGTGTGTGTGTACTTATTAGTGAGCATTTTAGGTGCGTTCATAACCCATGCTTGTTTGGATGTCCTCATAAAAAACAAAGGCTTAAATTTCTGCCATCATTAGCCCTGTCAGATCAATGTCACACACCCCGGGTGTGTTTCTTTCTGTTAATCCCTCCATTCACACTCTGCTGTAAAGGGGTACTTACACCGTCATGGATAAGCAGGAATTCAGCGAAAGAGCCGGCAGAGTAATAACAACAATAACAGTCATAAGAGCTGTTTTGACGGCGGCTTTTAATGTGAGGGATCAACACATGAAAAACAATACACGTGTAATGGGTATGATCCAGTTTGGAAGACAGATGTTGAGCCTACAGAAGCAGAATGTTGTGAAGATGGAAAAATGACTGATGGCTTCGTAATCACTTCAGTGGGGTAGCAGATATTTTTTCCTCTTTTTTTATTTGCCTATGCATCTAAGCTGCAAAATATTCAAAATGTTTTTTTAAATTTAACTTAGAATACTAAATGAATAAAAGTTTCGGGGACCAGGAAATAATGTTTGTTACATTTGTATCTGGCTGGCTCACTGTGTGTTTAATCTCTGGCTGCTTGTGTGTGTGTGTGTGTGTGTGTGTGTGTGTGTGTGTGTGTG